ACCGATGAGAAATCATGTTTGAAACTCTTCTCGGCATGGCAACAATCTTGGCAATGATTTTAACCACAAAACTAAGCCTGTGCTGTGCGTTAAACAGAAGTTGAAACAGTATCAGATCAGTAGTAGCATGATGGTGGATCATGGCTGAGAACTACATTTCGTGGCTTTGTGACAAAACAATTTTATTAAAGAGTCTTCTTGCGGCTGTCATACTAATAGTATTCACTGAGCATGCCAAATTCTAGCCATTATGAAGCAGCAATAAAGCATAGAATAAGTCAATTGAGAATAATTGTGAACTGCATAAAATCCTATACAATTTCGAAGTTTACTAAGGTATGGATTTATTATAATACATTTTGAAAATTGATTTAAGATAAAAAAAAGAAAGAAAAACAATCAGAGTTAATGAAAGTATTCTATATCGTAAGTGAAATAAATCTACATTGTTTGATTGTTACCTGATTCATCTTCTTGTTAATATCTTTAAACAGAAATTTCGTGATTTTCAACAATTTAAATTAATTAATTTGAAGCAAGATGTCCCCTTTTTGAAAGATATTGTCATGGATGATTTTTTTTTGCTATATAAATGTCTGTAAACGATAAACAAATAAGCCTAAATATATATAAAAAAAGTAATTGAATGGAGGGCGAGGTTAAATCTGGATTTGATTCAAGTTGTACATGTAGAAGGTGAAAAGTAAAAACAATAATCGTGAAACATTTTGAAAGGTCATGGATTGTTGTATGACTTGAAAACCACAACCAGTTGGGTAGAACTATAGTAACCTTTCTATAAACTTGAGAATAATCACTCCATGATACAGTGTTAACAATCAAAGCTATCACACGGAATTGCCGCCATACAGAAGTAATAAATATGAATGATGTAACATTAGGTCTACGTCTCACCACCTACATTTTAGAAATAATGTTCCAACGATGTTTCATTTTGATGGAGTATTTGTTCTTTGATGTTATTTAATCTAATATGTTATGTTGTCATCTCAGTATACATGCAGTGCATTGTGTTATTCATAGCCGAATCACTTTGATCATAGATGTAGAAACTGCTAGTTGATCTATAGGCTATTACTACAAATAAAAGTATCACGATTGCAGTATAAATGGTCTTTTGTTTTAGAGCAAAGCCGCATTGGGTTATTTGCTCTTTTCGCCGCGGGGGCCCGGCATGGCCAGGTGGTTAGGGCGCTCGACTCGCAATCTGAGGTTCGCGGGTTCGAATCCCCGTCCCACCAAACATGCTCGCCCTTTCAGCCGTGGGGGCGTTATAATGTTACACTAAATCCCACTAAATTATATTTCAACAAAATTAATATGTTCATAAAGAACATATTTTGTAGTAATGGCATTGGCTGATTGTAAACAGCCTTACCGCTCACTAAGTAAAGTTTAACTATTTATTTTTGTTAAAAAGTAGAAATATCAATGCTTTTAATTTTCATTCATTATATACCATTTGATCTTTGCTTGTAAAAAATAAAAATGTTTACTAAAAAGTTAGTTTCTAATTGTGATGTCCCCAGGTGGGACAGCGATACGTTTACACACTCACAACGCTAAAATCCAGAGTTCAATTCCCCGCGGTGAATTTTATTTATTTTGAATTTCACGCAAAGCTACACGAGGGCTATCTATGCTAGCCGTCCCTAATTTAGCAGTGTAAGACCAGAGGGAAGGCAGCTAGTCATCACCACCCACCGCCAACTCTTGGGCTACTCTTTTACCAACAAAATTACATATATCTTAACACGTTTTGAATTTATGTTAAATATGTACGTAATTACGAGTGCAAGTTATGTTTCTTAGTTATATATTTCTAAGTGAAACATAATATTAAAGGTTATTTTAATTTATGCCCTCATTATGTATGCTAAACCTTTTTAAAATTTTAAGTCCACAATTTGTGAATACCCTTCACATATTCGTTTTACTAATTTTATGACGCAGTGCGCAATGGATCGTGTTGAAAACAAATATTGAAAATTTTATTTAATTACAACTACTAAAGTTGTTTTAACAATATTTTTACACGTTTGAAAGTTTAGGCCTATCTTTATTCCATATATTAACTGTATATCTCGTATGTGTAAGATCCCTCTTAATAACGTGTTTCAATACGTTCTTCGTGTAAGCTCATTATCAGGAATAACATCTAATACTGAATTGGCAAACAGCTATTTATAAGAATAAGAAAAAGTTTTATAGATGGTGGAACATACTACATGTTTCGACAGAACATTGGTCTGTATTCCTCAGTTATGATCAGTACCAAATCAACATTTTTGGCAGGAATTTAGATTTTAAAATTATTCAGGCTTCAAGGTGAACTTTAGGGTCTGAAAGGTAACCTGGGATGTTCAGAAACTTTGGTTTCTCTTCACCCGCACGATACATTTTTTATTTTATTCTAAACTTGACAGGTGTTTGGTTTGGATGAAAAATATTGTATCTCTGGGAAAGTTGCGAACTCTTTCCAGCCGGGGTGCTCAGGAACATTCGTTCCCCTTCGCCCCGCGCGTGGAATGTGTTGTTAATCCAAATAAGCTATTGGTTGGAAATGGATGTTACTTAAAGGTTAATGGAAAACCGTGGAAATAGTAGTGGAAAGCCGTGAGAGAGGACCGGAAAGGCTTGTACATTTTGGTTGAAGTTTTCTGATGTCCTCTTCAGAAATGTGATGTATCCTTCCGTCGAGGAGTCCAAAGTAGCGACCAAAGCAACCAACTCATTAAGTGAAATATTACTTCTACTTGATTGATTAATAATATTAGAAGTTGAGTTGTTTAACATTACATTATTTAAGGATCGAGACGATATATATCTATGCATATAAATACAAAAACGCAAATGACAAGTGCCAAACGGCCGTTCTCAGGGGGACGGGAACCAAATAGGTCTAATGATCATTCTATCTTTGATAGTATCATGCAATTTCTCTCGTGGGGCGTCTATCCCGTGAAAGTGGGTTTTCTCCTGGCACTCTGGTTTCCCCCCTCAACAAAAACACCTGGGTTATACTCTGGGCTTAAAGGTTTTGGTATAACATAAGCTGTATTTGGCAAAGTCTGTTCACCGTTCATACATTTGACCAGACTTGACCTCTACCTATATCCTGTCACCCGCTGACACCATTTCCTTCACATATATAAACCTTGTATTGCTTAGCACTGATCAAGTGCAAGGTGAGAGAAGATCTGATATCTTCGAGTACCCCGGATGTTTAATAGTTTGCCTATTTGACCATAAAATGTCGAACATCAAACTATTTTCATCTAAATTCCTGTCATAATTTGGATTTGGATACTGATCGTATCTGAAAAAGAAGACTGACCAATCTTCTGTTGAAACATGTAGTATGTTCCACCATTAATAAAACTTTCCTTTATGCTTACAAATCGTTGTTTTCCTACCTATTATTATATTAGCATAACGTGCTTCCTTACTCATATAGTAATAACGTGTCTTTACGCACATACATGTATAGATGATTTTGTGCATACTTATGGAAGGGTATTTTGATTTTAATTTCTATTTGTTCGCAATCAATAATTTCGTCCTAAGAAGGGACTATAGATAATCTGACGATATATATTTGTCGACGTTTTTTGGCACTAATGTGCTATTAGGAACCCTATAAAACAAAAGTAATTAATAAATCCACAAGCAAGAATGTGTTTAAGAATCCGATGGAGGGTTTAGGAAAAGACTACACATTATACATAACCTGGACTCTAATTTATCTGCATCGTAAGGATACTTAAAAGTAGGAAACAATATATTTCATCTTAAAGTTTAAAAAATTCCACAATTATGTGGAAATTAAAGACTGTATAGGAACATTTAGTAAAAAAAAAAAAAGAGAGTCGCCTGTGATAACGTATAGGACTAAATCAATACGTATGACAGTGGGCTGGGTTTCAAGTTCGATCTTCCATCTTTCATATATGTATATGTCTGTTTGTGCATCACATATCATATAATTATTGCAACACATTTCATGCATAACAACAACAACAATAATATAGATATATGCATTGTACTAAGGGTATTGTGGAAGTTTAGGTGTATTTAAAAGTTGTTTTCCTTCAACTTTCATTACTCGTTAGAACAACAATATTGTAAGTAAAATGCAGCAAAAGCGTTATATCTCATCCCAAAATCTAGTAAAATCAAACTGTTTTTTTTATTACACCAATGCAAACTAGTAGGATTAAATTACTTAAAGACATAGTGGGTATCGTTAACATATACGTTTTTGCATTTTATTTTAAAAGTGATAGATTTCAATAAACTAAATTCTACATTGCAAGAAACATGCCGGCCGTTCTAAAATCCACACGATTTGAATCCCTAAAACAATTTCGAATTTTACGAGAAGCAATCCCATTTCATTGAGATTGTTCACGTTTACTATTGGGTCAAAAGAGTATGAAAGTAATTAAGACAAGTCAAGTTTTATTAAAGGAAGACTTTGCTCTGGTTTTACTCATTTTCCGTAAATATAATGAATTATAAGTCATATCTATTGAAAGTAATTTTGGCTGAAATAAAAAAGTGGCTAAAACGTATAAGCGAATGACAAGGTAAATATAAAAACATGTTTTGTATTTATAAGCAGTGTCCATACATATGAGAATTTAAAACAGTGTTAATACAGTAGATGTAATTAACAACTATAAACACTTATAAGTAATAGCGGTGTATACTACACAATGTTACAAAATACATGAATAATATTTAAGACATAATCAAATAAAAATGTATGTGACTAAAGTGTTTAAACGTTTCTAATGATACTAATAAGTTCCTTATAGCATCAAACAAGTTTCTAAATACATATGTAAAAATGAAAATGCATTACGTAAATTGGTGCTTATGGATTCTTATAAAATGTCCCCATTTTGTTAATTATCCATTTTTCAATATATTAGGCGGAATATTTTGAATAACAGAATAATGCTGGCATTTTGCAGACTTCTTTAAGCCGACAGAGGACGCACTCACCCTATAAAATTCCTCATGGTGTTTACGAAGATGACCCAGGTATTATGTCTGAAGCCGAAACCTCAGCTACCGGGTTTCGCCGACCTTCAAAAGGTCGTTCCACGTTGCCAATGGTTAGACCTCCTGCTAAAGTTCAAGAACGAGCTCTTACTCTTGGTAAGTAGTATTACTGGTTTTATTTTACTTCTAGCCACAGTTCCAGCTTGAAAACAACTAACCATCAAGAAATAGAATCAAATCCCACTCGGTCACAATTTTAATTTTCTTAAAAATTCAAAATTTATGTTCATAGGACGGTGCCAATCTTAACGTTTTTGTAATATAAGTACAGTACTTAAAATTAGCACTTACAACAAAACCATGTCAAAAAACGGATTGTGAGCTATACTAGTCAATTGCCATGGCTCCAGAATCTTACCAAAGTTTCGTCATTAATAAACAAAAAATAAAAACTGACAGGTGCTACTCTTAAGACGTACGCCTTGTAAGCATCATCCGAGGTTCGAATCCTGCTTTTTCTCCCTTTTCAGTTCTTCAAAAAACAAAAACTGAGACATGTTATTTTCAAGTCACGGGAGATTAGTGAGTTAAAGCATCTGTATTGTAAGTATCGTCGCGGGTTCGAATCCTACTCTTTCTCACCTTTCAGTTCTTCAGAAAATACCTAAAGAGCAAAAATCTGCCTGAGGTATTATTATTCTACATCTAAGTGTGTTAAGAGAGAAACGTCTTTCTGCGAACTTACTTTTTCAGTTCATGTAATTCCCAAAGGTGTTTCTTGGTAGTCGTTAAATGTAATAAATAAAAAATATAAAAAAACTTTTGTTTTCTCTTCAGAAATCTTATTCAACAGAATAGAATTTAGCGAGGTTCCATAAGTACATTTTATCGAACTTTTCACTTTAAAACAAAGAGATTCTCGTGCATATCGTGTTAGATGAAGTCGGTGAGATTTGTTTTTATATTTTCGTTATAAGCCCTCAAGCTTATCGGTAAGTAAAACAAGACATGCATAATGTATGCAGTAAAGTAAATGAACATGTCAGTAAGTGCTGCTGATATCACAAGATTATGTTTCACAAAATAGATCTTTTCTGCAATGACATACAGTAGTAACCAATATTAGTTCTCAGCTAATGGTGCACAATGTCATTTTAATGACATAGCATATCTCTTCCATCGTAATGTTTTCATCAAATTTTCGGCCACTTTCGCTGTCTGTTTATTAAAGAACAACCTCTATTGTAACTTATCCTTGTTTCTAATTCTTACATGTTCAGTGTCTAGTAATAGTCTAGATCTTAAGGGGGACGAAAATACATCGTTAAGAGTAACTGGACAATTCAGAACGATTTGCGTATAGTTGAACAGCCGAATATCACAAAATAATAATTTGTAATTTTTTTACAGACTTCTTATAGTTCAAAATAACGAGGAGGAGGTGAAGCAGACTTGTAACGTATATTTTTCTGATTGGGTTCATGAGCTGTAAGAATTATTTTTGATGAGTTAGCCAGTTACCATAATGAACCTGTCATCCACACACGTTGTAATTCTCTTCGTCTTTTTTTTTCTCTCTCTTAGTCCGTATGTGTGAGAAATTCACCATTAGTTTCGTTATTCGGATTCATTTCAGACTCCACACGTCACTGATATTTCTGCAATTTGCTGTCATGTCAGCAAAAGCAGGACCGCTCACTAGCACAAAATAATTAACTGTTGTAATAATTTTTCTGCTGTCATATTAGTGAAATATAGCAAATACAGTAACTATGCGTTTGAGAACCGAATCTAATGAGCTAAGCCTCATTTCACATGAATATGTTGTACTAAGTAGATAGATTTAAAAGCTAATTTTAGCTTTGCATTGAGTTGGTGCGACATATTTCAAATTCTTTTTTTTTGTTTCGGATATGTTCACGAAGCTGCACAACGGCTATCTGCTATAGTTGTCCCTAAATTGGTGCTACTCTTGCCAGACCAAAATTGGGATTTATTTGTTTGTTTAATTTCGCTCAAAGCTACATTAGAGCTATCTGCAAAGGAAAAGGCAGTTAGTCAACACCACCTACCGTTAACTCTTGGGCTACTCTTTATTAATGAATAGTGGGTTTTACCGTAAATTATAACGGTGACGGGTTGCGATAGTACGACCAGCATATTGCGAGTCAAGTGTTCCAACCACTAAGTGATTAGGATTTGACCGTCACTTTTATAAAGCATTCCACATTGCGGAGTGCGTTTCTTGGCAATGGGTCATAAACCGTGGACCCTTGGGTTCACACTCCAGCATGCAACCACTAGGTCACACCCAGCTACATAATTAATTTGGTGGACAATTTACAAAAAGGCAACTTTGTTCTACTTTATGATAGAACGAAGAATATCAAGTCTTTATTTTTTTATATGGGAATAATTTTCTTTTTTGTTATTGAATGTTATTACATCAATGAAGTACCTACTTAATACTCCAAAACTGCGCAATACCGAAGTAAAACATCATACTTTTCATATAAACAAAAGCAGATTAAGCAGACCTGTCAACATTAAAACTAACATTTTGTGTGTTTTCAGCCAACATGGTCTACATCGTCTCTTCAGATTTAAGAATATTAGTCTTACTTTCATGTTTTGAGAAGTAATATATGTGTGTACACTCTTGCCTCGTTTGCAAACAGATATATGTAAGCCTAACTTAAGGAACACTTCGTTATAAAATTGGCTTACACTTTTAGTGTTGCCAGATTTACATTAAATAACTGTGATGAATCTGTGCTTTACAAAAATTGTAAAGCAATTGAACTGGAAGGTTTGTTTGTTTATTTTGAATTTCGCGCAAAGCTACACGAGAGCTATCTGCACTAGCTGTCCCTAATTTAGCAGTGTAAGACTAGAGGGAAGGCAGCTAGTCATCACCATCTACCGCCAACTCTTGAGATACTCTTTTACCAACGAATAGTGAGATTGGCCGTCACATTATAACGCCCCCACGGCTGAAAGGGCGAGCATATTTGGTGGGACAGGGATTCGAACCCGCGACCCGCATATTGCGAGTCGAGCTCCCTAGCCACATGGCCATACAGGGGCTGAATTGGAAGGAGAGGCTGGAATGCTCAATATCAAACACAGTATTTTGATAATTCAATAGGAAACAAGTATATCAAATCTAAACCTATTTTGAATAAACAAAAGGGCGAGGGATTTATATCAAAATCCAAAGCGTGTTTGTGTCAGGTGGGATTAAAAAAAAAGGGAAGTACTCTCAGAAAAGAAAAGTGTGAACTGTAGAAGAAAGTATCCATATTTAATTTGTATCTGATTTTAAGAACGTTTATAAAACAACTTACTATCGGATATTTGGTTATACAATGCAAGCAAAAAAAGAAAAAGAATCGAGAAAGACTGTAAACGATAAATATATTTAAACGAAAAACACATTTTAATAGTTTATGCTAAGATTTAGGATTGCGTTGTGTTAAATAGAAGAAAATTTATTTAAAATGATTAAATTGGTAAAGGAACTTATTGAATGAAACTTACAAAACTGCAGAAGTGTTTTTGGCATGTGATATAGGTGTAGGAATATACCAGTGATGAATATTTATGTGTGTAAAATCTCCAGTATCAATGACGTGAATAAAACATTAAGGAAGTGGTGTGCCAAGATTGCGAATATGTTTGGGTCATATTGAAAATGTATAAGCATGAATTAACTCGTAACAGCTAATGTGTGTGTATATACGAGTTTATTACTTTCAGACAAGCTGTGGATGTTTCAAAACTTTTTACGTACTTAAAAATTCGCCCCACCCCATTGCCTCAGCAGTAAGTCTGGAGGATTATAACGCTATGAATCTGGTTTCGATACCCGTGGTGGGTACAGCACAGATAACCCATTGTGTAGCTTTGTGCTTAACAACAAATAAACGAACTTAAAGACTCGAATGGGTTATATGTTATCTGATATCATTAGTTTCCTTTGAAATATGTTTATTTCTTTTATTTTTTGAAATGAAGAGTGTTTATGATACTCTGATAACTCGTAGTATCACGTAGGAAAGTTTCAGTCAACGTTGGTTAAGTCTTTGTGATATTTAAACTCTGCGCATTTGATATACATGAAAAACCTAGGAACTGGGCTGACAGCAATTCTTTAATTGTGTTTGAAAGGTAAATTACACACTACAACTTGTATAAAGCTTCGATATCTGATGGGTATTATATTTCATACTCCAAGCAAAAAGCTAGAAACTGGGCTGACAGCAATTCTTTAATTGTGTTTGAAGGGTAAATTACACACTACAACTTGTATAAAGCTTCGATATCTGATGGGTATTATATTTCATACTCCAAGCAAAAAGGGATTCGTTAGATAGAGGTTATGTGTGGCTTAGAGGTTAACGTGCCGGATGGGAATTGAAAAGTCCATAGGTTGAATTCCATTGCCGTAAAATCACGCTCCGCATTTTGGAACCGTCGATGTTTTATAATAGAGATAGTAGTATCTCACTTGTAGATTACAGTAGGCCAAGAGTTAGCGGGCGTTGATGTTGATTATTTGCCTTCTCTCTAGTCTATCGCTTCAAAATTAAACACGGCTTACGCAGCTAGTCCTCAAGTAGCTTTGCGCAGAATTCGACAAATAAACAATCGTTAACGTAAAAATTATCTCTTTTTTTCATACAGTAAAAAATAGTTTAAATAATCGAATATAAGTTATGATGTCTGCTGATGAAACAGCGGTAAGTTTACGGACTTACAACGCTAAAATCCGGGGTTCGGTTCCTCACGGTGGACACGGCAGATAATCCAATGTAGCTTTACTGTAGAACAAAGACAGATAGTCCAATGTGGCTTTACTCTATAACAAACACAGATAGTCCAATGTGGCTTTACTCTAGAACAAACACTGATATTCCAATGTGGCTTTACTCTAGAACAAACACAGATAGTCCAATGTGGCTTTACTCTAGAACAAACACAGATAGTCCAATGTGGCTTTACTCTAGAACAAACACAGATATTCCAATGTGGCTTTACTCTAGAACAAACAAAATAAATTATGATATGAACAAAATTACATATTCCACAAGAATCGAAATTAATTATTAAACTCTTAGGGTTTTTACAATTGAATAAGAACCTCAACCCTTGGTTAATCACTATCATCAACACTGCAAAGTTTAAAAAAAATTCATAGATCTACTGACAAGTAGCACTAATTATGATGTATGAAGCCTTATGCTGAAGTTACATACCACAGTGATTAATGTATTGTATGTGGCTGAATAAATAGAATTTTGACCTAGGCTTTGGGTGTTGCATGTCGAAGCGACCTGATGAGCTCTGGTATTTGGCGAAAAGCCTCTTCGGCAATGACATGCGGACGATGTTCTATCGTGCTTTTGATACTTGAACCCCTTAATATTTGTTTGTTTGTTTGAAGTTAAGCACAAAGCTACACAATGGGCTATCTGTGTTCTGCCTACCACCTGTATAGAAACCCGAACCCCCTTAATAGGATCAGTACAAAAAGACTGTTAAAACTTACCATTACTGTGATGTGATGTCACACAGACTATCGATCAATAATTATGACCCAGTAAATTATTTAATTGTACAATAGTAGTTAAATAATATAAGCAACTCTTGAATTTTCGCCACCCAGTGGCACAGTGGTTTGTTTGCAGACTTACAACGCTAGAAAACTGGTTTCGATACCCGTTGTTGGCAGAACACAGATGGCCCAGTGTGTAGCTTTGTGCTTAATTACAAAAAAAACTTGAATTTTCACATGGTTCTACTATATCGATTTACACAATTGATGAACCAACATGTCAGAACAAAACTCTTTCTCAGCAATTGTATTTACAGAATGTCAAAGAGTACTAGTAGGTATTAGCTTGAGGAATAATAATTTAATGCTATTTTTACTATAGTACAGATTGTCAATGTTTCTTCCAGGTTATCCTGAAACTCAAGCAGCACCGGAATATGGTAAGTTCTCAAAGGCAGAAATATCGTGTCTTAAGTTAAAATATTTAATTAATATTTCCTGATTCACATTAAGAAAACATCGTGGTGTTCTGTTTCCTTCTATGTGGAATAAGAGTTGTATTTTTATTATACTTGTGAACTTATTTTCCTTTGTGCCTACTTTATTAGGGATTAACCATTTCTTTAATACTAACAAGGATATCTTTTATCACGTGTTTGCATAATTATCCTATAATTATCAGCTTTTATGAGTGAGAAATATAGTTTTCTCCAATATTTATGCCAAAGGTTTGAAGATATCATATCCAAGTGTACTGTTTTTATAATAATATAAAATACTGCTGTATTACATACTGGCCAGATTAATTTATTATGGGATCTCTCCGCCTCCAGACACAAACTCCTAAGAGAAGTTAAAAAAGCATTTATTGCTCAACTGTTGATATTGCACATAAAAGTGTTTGTGTTGATTAACTAAACAGAATTAAACACAGAAAAACCGCGCTCTTATTTATCCTTAAAAAACTGTTGTGATTGTGTTACGCATTTCGGTCACTTTAGACAAAAAAAACTGAATCGAACTTGAATCAAAGTAAACAACATTTCTCATAAGCTTTATATGATGCCAATACAATGTGGAGTTTATCTAAATTACAATTCCTTACCCCCTGCGGGTGTGAAGCACACAGTCGATCCTGTTTCAGAAAGCCTAAGAGATAAACGAATTAGCTATGATCCTTCAAACTGTACTGGAAGCGTAAGCACTGTTACTGAAATCCAATTTAGTCAGTAGTATCCCGTTTCACAGCAAAAAGTAAAAAGCTAAGTGGAAGCACTATTACTGGAACCCAATTGAATAACTCGTATATAGAGTGTGGATTATACAACAAATATAACTGCAAGTAGAGTTCGAAATTGTGTTTAAAAAGTAATGTAACCAGAAGGTTTGTATTTTTATATTGAACATTTAGCTTTGAATACTATCTTTTGACGACGTTTTGGGACACTGACCTGTTCTATTTTCAAGTCCAAGTAAGTATCTCGTAACGTCATCAAAACATTAATATTCAAGGCCAGATGTTCCATTGTAAAAACATTCCTGATTAAGCCCTCTTGTCAACAGTATCTATAAAAAAGTAATATTGACATTAGACTTTGTAAAGCAGCCGATTCTAAACTTAAAAATCTGTTTTAATAAAACTTAAACTTGAATTACCTAAGTGCCCTGGCTTAACAACAAATCATGTCCGTCAGTCCCTTAGGGCCGAATGACAGTGTACAATGTCGTCTACTAGTTAACTATCAAAATTTGTCAGAATACCTACATTGGCGAGGCTTAGAAACCTATTAGTGAATGTGTAAATCAACATTGCCGAAACTGCAAGACAAAGCATAAGCAGTGATGCTCTATTAATTTGCCAGGATTTTATGTAAATCTAATCCTATTGACGTGATGAATTCAACTTCGATGACAAGGAACCCACTTTGAGACTAATAATGGTTGGAGACGGCTTGAATGGGTAATGAAGAAAAACTTTAATATAAGTTTAACATAACAACAAATGTACAACGTTTCGACAAGGTTTTGTCATTATCAAGAAGTAACTCAGTCCGTAAACGAGGCCAACAGGGTATAGGCTCACCAAGATGATGTTTCTAGTCAATATCATCCATTCAACAGTCGCAAACTTCAATCAGCTGGAGAATTATATGGGTATTCTACTATTCTATACCGGTCAAGTTCCCTATCGATTTCTGTGTGATCAGTCTGTTGAAATGTGCATTGAGAAACCGTAGTCATTGTAAACTAGACGGATTATGTAAACCAAGCAAAGAGGAGAGATGTGCTTTGAACATGATAGCATTACAACGTGGCCTTTTGCAATGGAAAATAAGCTGCAGGGCTATTGCACAGTCGTCAGATAGAGCACGACTGGGCGTGGTTAAGTTCCAAACTCGTCTTAATATCACTTACTCAACTTCTGTATATATATATATATATATATATATATATATATGTATGTATGTACATATACACATGTCTATATTCGTGTGTTTTTGCGAGTTGTTTTCTTTGTGTATTACATTTTTCATAATTTTCTTTCCAGCTCTCAACTTGAGCATTTGAAATATTAAATTCAACTCAGTTCTATGCTAATGTAATTTGTTCTCTCGTCACCAACATTACAAATTATTGACAAGAAAGGGAACAATTTAACATTAATTCTGTCATTCGTTAGGGAGTTAACCAGGTTTAATACAATTTTGTTTCTCATAGCAAACGTAGGTTTTCCGGTTCTTTGTTTGTTTGTTTTTTTCGCCGAAATTCATAATGTTGATGATGAGTGAAAAAAATTACATTATCTTAATCAACTTGCCTACTGAATAATTCAAAAAACTAAATTAATATCATTAAAGCTAGATATTTGACAAATACTTTTAAAAGTAAAGAATTCAAATAAACAAATATACAAGTTAATACATATTATAATATCTAAATGAATACTTTATAAGTCTTTCTTAGCCTAAAAGTCTACATGAAATCTTAGTTTACTTTAGCGTTATTACCAAGGGCACCCAATTGAGGAAACAGTACATTTGAATCTTTATACGTATGAACGTAAGAACAGTATATTTAATTATCTATACTCCTCACTGGTTTAATTTTTACATTTGTTTTTCATCTAAGTAGGTAAGTTGTTCTGATCGGAAGTTAATATTACTAACTTTCTGTAACATGGTATACACAGACTGATGAAGATAATCTGTCCGAAACGTTGCAAAAATATTTTCCTTTCCACGCCACTTACGAAACATTGCTTATTATTAAGTTCCATCCAGTTGTAACTGATGTAGGCATAATATCGAAAAGTAGCATAATTGAAAATAAAGAAAAAAATTGTGTTTTATATTTTTCATCAAGTAGTTATTGCTGTAAATCTCATCAGGAGAGCACTATCTAATGTAAACTATTCAAATAGAGTACTTATTGCTGTAAAGATCTTCAGGAGAGCACTATCTAGTGTAACCTATGCAGATAGAGTAGTTATTATTGTAAATATTTTTGGAGAGCACTATCTACTGTAAACTACGCAGATAATATCTATTACTGTAAACATCTTCAGGAGAGCACTTGCGTAAGCTATGCAGGTAAAGTAGTTATTAGCGTAAACATCATCAAGAAACCACTACCTAGTATAAACTATGCAGATAGTATATATATATTACTGTAAATATCTTCAGGAGAGCACTTGTGTAAACTATGCAGATAGAGCACTTATTACTTTAAACATTTCCAGGAGAGCACTATCTGGTATAAACTAAGCAGATAAAGTATTTATTACTGTAAACATTTTTAGGAGAGCCCCATCTAATATGAACTACGCAGATTATATTTGACAGCATGGTTTGCGCCCTGTTACCACAAAAAAACATTGGCGCTGCGCACTCTGGAGCCGAGGGTGCATTATAAGAGTGACAGCCAACTCTCACTACTCGATTAGAATAGCCCTACGAGCTAACGTTGGGTAATGTTGGCTAGCTGTGGTCTATCTCTTTATAATTATGGTCGGCTAGTGCAGATAGCCCTCTAGTAACTTAGCGCAAAATTCCACGATAAACAACAACAGTTTATGTATTTATTACACTCTGGGACTGTATCTTAGAGCAAGTACTGATTGAACAACATAAATCGTATTTTACAGTATCTGTTAATTAAACAAACATGACTATTTTTGACGGGATATCTAGATTGACTGCGAAAGCTGCATTTGAAAGTACGGATTCGTAAACAATGCGCATTGTATTCGGCAACGTATTGATTAATATTACACTTTGTTTTAACAGTCCATGTTAATCAGCTTCTGAGACTCTGATTGAATTTCTCGGATTATACTTGACATATAATGATTCAATAGGATGTGGCATTTCATTTGACAGTGTGTGTGTGTGTTGATTAACTTCACAGGTTATTTATAACATTGTATCGATTGCTTAAGATGATTCTACATGGTAATATGTTTGTTGAATAATTCCTGTGGATACGTTTGATGGTATATCTATTCATTAACCATGCAAATTCAATTGAACGGCATTCGTTTATTAAACAGATCATATGTTTATATTGCGTTGAGTAACTTCTAAAGTGATATTTGCAGTTTGTGTTTATGAACTAAAGGTAAAGTATTCGATGATATTTGTTGTTTAATACCTAATTTACTATTTTACAGTATGTATTAATTAACAGCAAATATTGTGTTTTACAGCACATTTTGATTAACTACTTATATCATGTCTGACAACGTGTTTTCAGGAATTATGTTTTTGACAGTATATGTTGATGATCTACTAAGATCGTGTTCACTAGATTGTGTTGATACAGTATTAACACTGTATTTGGCAGTCACTAGATCTATTTATAAACTACTAATGTTTCATCGACAGTATTTATTTAGTTAAACACAAACAATGTATTCGACAGCACTCGTTAATTAATTACGGAAGTTATTTTTAACAGTAAGCTGTGATTGGTTATTGGTATTATTATTATTATTTACGGTGAATATTAGAGAAATATATGCAGTTTTTTTTTTCAAATATATAAAAATTAAGAAAGCTTAAAAAATATGTTCTTTGACGGTTGATGCAAGTACAAACTGCCAGGCTTGTGCTTTGGATATTCAGAGGTTCATGGCTCGAGTCCCATTGTCGCAAAAAATATCGCTCTCCGTACTTTAGAGTAGTAGGTATACTATTCAGTCCTAGAAGAGTAGCTTAAGAGTTGCTGTTTAGTGGTGTTTACTAATTGTCTTCACTCTAGTCTTTCGGTTCGATATTGGGAACGGCTTGTATATCCGTGTCCTACATTTCTCAACTAAATATGTTCTTTGACGTTTCGTGCAAGTTTAAACTGACGGGCGGGACCTAGTATTTAGTGTGCCTCGAATACTCAGGAGTTTATGGTTCGCTTCCTGCTGTCGTAAAAAAATAAATGCGCTCCG